TTTGTGGGTGTGTGTGTATGGACTCAGCAGTCTGTGTGTGTGTGTATGGACTCAGCAGTCGGTGTGTCTGTGTGTATGTATGGATTCAGCAGTCTCTGTGTGTGTGTGTGTGTGTGGACTCAGCAGTCTGTGTGTGTATGGACTCAGCAGTCTGTGTGTATGGACTCAGCAGTCTGTGTGTCTGTGTGTGTGTGTGTGTATGGACTCAGCAGTCTGTGTGTGTGTATGGACTCAGAGTCTGTGTGTGTGTACCGACTCAGCAGTCTGTGTGTGTGTGTGTGTGTGTGTGTGTGTGTATGGACTCAGCAGTCTGTGTGTCTGTGTGTGTGTGTGTATGGACTCAGCAGTCTGTGTGTGTGTACCGACTCAGCGTCTGTGTGTGTGTGTGTGTGTGTGTGTGTGTGTGTATGGACTCAGAAGTCTGTGTGTCTGTGTGTGTGTGTGTATGGACTCAGAAGTCTGTGTGTGTGTACCGACTCAGCAGTCTGTGTGTGTGTGTGTGTGTGTGTGTATGGACTCAGCAGTCTGTGTGTTTGTATGGACTCAGCAGTCTGTGTGTGTGTGTATGGACTTAGCAGTCTGTGTGTCTGTGTGTGTATGGACTTGGCAGTCTGTGTATATATGTGTGTGTGTGTGTGTATATATGTGTGTGTGTGTGTATGGACTCAGCAGTCTGTGGGATGTATGGACTCAGCAGTCTGTGGGTGGGTGTGTATGGATTCAGCAGTCTGTGTGTGTGTATGTGTGTGTATGTCTGTGTGTGTGTGTGTGTATGGACTCAGCAATATGTGTGTGTATATGGACTCAGCAGTCTGTGTGTGTGTCTGTGTATGGACTCAGCAGTCTGTATGTGTGTATGGACTCAGCAGTCTGTGTGTGTGTATGGATTCAGCAGTCTGTGTGTGTGTCTGTGTGTATGGACTCAGCAGTCTGTATGTGTGTATGGACTCAGCAGTCTGTGTGTATGCATGGATTCAGCAGTCTGTGTGTGTGTGTGTGTGTGTGTGTATATGGACTCAGCATTCTTTGTGTGTGTATGGACTCAGCAGTCTGTGTGTTTGTGTGTGTATGGACTCGGCAGTCTGTGTGTGTGTATATGTGTGTGTGTGTATGGACTCAGCAGTCTGTGTGTATATGGACTCAGCAGTCTGTGTGTGTGTGTGTGTGTGTATGGACTCAGCAGTCTGTGTGTGTGTCTGTGTGTATGGACTCAGCCGTCTGTATGTGTGTATGGACTCAGCAGTCTATGTGTGTATGGACTCAGCAGTCTGTGTGTGTGTATGGACTCAGCACTCTGTGTGTGTGTGTGTGTGTGTGTATGGACTCAGCAGTCTGTGTGTCTGTCTGTGTGGTATATGGACTCAGCAGTCTGTGTGTGTATGGACTCAGCTGTCTGTATGTCTGTGTGTGTGTGTGTATGGACTCAGCTGTGTGTGTTGGACTCAGCAGTCTGTGTGTAAGTGTATAAATCAGCCTGTGTGCATTCAGGAGTCTGTGTGCATTTAGAAATCTGTGTGTGTGTGTGTGTGTGTGTGTTTGTGTGTATTCAGAAGTCTCTCGTTGTGTAGGAAGGGCCCCAGAGCACTGCTTTGCCTGGGGGCCCTTACACTGTTAAGATGGTACTGCTTGTGTGTGACAGTGAGCTTCTATTTAGTGAGCATGTGTGTGTCAGTGAGCTTGTCTTTAGTGAGCTTGTGTGTGTCCCTGAACTTATTTGTAGTGAGCCTTGTGTTTATACAAGTGAGTTTGTCTGTAGTAAGCCTGTGTGCAAGTCAGAGAGCTTTTTGTCTGTCAGTGAGCCTACTTGCGCATGTCAGTGAGCTTGTGTGCTCACTGTACAATATATATATATATATATATATATATATATGTGTGTTTTTTTTTTGACCTGTAGGAATGGCATACATTTTTTTCCAGGGCTGCTTTCCAGTTTGGCTCTGCCAGCGAGTGCGCTTTACAGCTGAATCATCTGTGTGAGCTGCCGCACACTTTAGCCCTGTTACACGCGTCTGGGAGCTGCTGTTGACAGGTACTAGTAGTCTAGAGATTGGGACATGGGGTATATGCTCAGCTATCTGTATAATACTATAGTGCTGTTCTCTGTATAATACAGGTTTGTGTCTGTATAATATCCTGGGACAGTCAGTGTTCCCTGTATAGTGCTGCTCTCTGTCTTGGGATATTATACACAAACAGATCTGTGTTATACAGAGAGCAGCACTATACAAGGAGCACTGACTGTCCCGGGATATTATACACACAGCCATGTATTGTACAGAGAGCAGCACTTTACAGGGAGCGCTGACTATTTCAATGTCTTAAATGTTGGCAACTATGGCACTATATCAAGGGAAATGTTTGTTTTTTAATAATCCCTGGTGGAAAATAATGAATCCTCCACCAGGGATTATTAAAAAAACTAACACATTGTGCCTGGGGCGTGGCTTAACATGCGTCAGGGGTGGGGTCAAACTGCGGCGAGGGCAGGGTTAAATGTGTCCCCCTACTTTTGTCCCTGGCCCACCATGTGCCCCCCCCTAAAAATGAATCCTAGAGACGCCACTGGTAGTGTGTTAGATTGTAGCTTGTATGATGCTTTAAGTGGTTTGTGTGTCCTCGAGATTTCTAGGTTTATAGGACAATGGTGGTGGTATATGGCCCACCCCTCTGGCGGTGTGAAAAGGTGTGGGAAAGACTAGGTCTGTGGGCTGGATAGGCTGGCCCCAGTTGGGTGCTATCATATGTTGGAAACATATCTGTAATGCAAAAAAGAAAGAAAGAAAATGAAAAGAAAAAAGGGGGGTGGTGGGAAGAGAGGATGTAGAAACATGTGGGGTTGGGTAGGAACTGGTGTGGGCATCACCCTCGGTCGCCGTCTCAGTTCACCATGCACTGCCCACCCCCCGCAGCCGCCCGGTCTGGGCCTACACGACTTCTTGTCGGCAGCTCAGGTATTCGCTAGGAGTTGTACGAAATCGGCAGATGAAACATGGCGCAGCCAGTAAAACCATCACTGCGTGTATCGTTGCTTTCGTTCTGCGTGTATCATTGCTTTCAGTTCTTCGAAGCCTCCTTGTGTCTTCCACCTCCTCTACCCAACCCCTGATGGTTGTCTCCAATATATAGGGATGATTGCTTTCGCTGTTTTGAGGAGTCGTGGGATCACTGATCTTTTGTAGCACGGCGCCGACATGGTAGTATGGTGAAGGAGGAATGGGGCCAGCGACCGTGGCAGGGTTTCATCTGTCACCTCCCTTATCATCCCCCAACCGCCTCCCAAAATGGTTTGATAAGGTCACCCACCAGATATGGGCGAAAGTTCCCACCTCCTCTCCACAGCGCCAACAGTTATCCGGTAGTGTGCTGTCTCTGGTGTATAGAGCCACACACCAGAGACAGCACACTACCAGATACCTGTTAGTAGTGTCATAACAATACACTATATGCTCTCACCCCCTTCACCTTTTATTTAATACATGTGTATGGACATCAAATTACCTTTTTGAATGATCTATCATGTTGTAAGTTGTGGAAATTTCAAAGTATATTTCTGCACTTTTTACTGCACTTTGCACCTTTCTCTTTTTATATATATTTTTGGTACAAACACTAAGAGAGTGTTGTATAAACGCAAATTCTTTGCACTTTATTAAGGTATAGCAAATTTTGCCCAAAATAAGAATTTTTCACTTTATGGTTTTAAAGACACAGTGCACCTTTTTATGCATTGTTCGGAGTACGTTTCTTTGGAATTGACCAGGCGTACTGTGTGATTTGTTCTCTCGCCAGCACATGGAGGAATGTGTGCATTTGTTCTGGGAAGAGTTTGGCAATTGGGCAGATTGCGAATGGTGATACTAGGACGTCGGCTATGCAGTGTGTCGGTATGTAGTTCGTTAAGTGTGGAAGAGGTCCCTGATCCCCGGCCGGGAAATTTGGGTTGCCTCTCAGAAGGACCATGGGGCTGAGGTCACTTGTGAGGTAGTACTTGGCGCCGTTTCTGTGCCAGACTTGTAGTGTTGCTTTTATGAATGGATTTGTGGGGGATATATGTTTGCTTGCTTCCCTCGTGATCCACAGTAGGGTTCCTAGGTTGCAGTGGGCACTATCTGCTTCCAATTGCACCCACAGCTTATCCCTCATTGCAGTGGACCAGTTAATGATTCTGGTGAAGTGGGCTGCTAAGAAATATTTCTCAAAATCAGGCTATGCCAGCCCTCCTCTGAGCTTGGGTAGCGTTAGGTGAGAGTGTGCTATGCAAGGGGATTTGCCATTCCAGATAAATTTGTGGACTTCCGCTTTCAGAGGGGGTTAAGAAGGTTTTTGGGACCGAAATTGGCACTGTCTCGAAGATGAAAAGGAGCTTAGGAAGTAGGGTCATCTTGACTGCTTTCACCCAGCCCAGCCAGGAGATGTAGTAGGAGTTCCAAGAGCATAGCTCCTCTATAGCTGCTTTGAGGATGGGCAAGAGTTTGTGGGTGTATAAGTCCTTCAGGTCCGGTGTGAGCTAGATCCCTAAATATCGTATTTGGTTTTCACACCAGCGGAAGGGGATGTTCCGTTGAAGTGTCCGTCTTAGTGTGTGGCTAACCATAAGACACATATTTTCAGATTTAGAATAGTTGATTTACAGATTAGAGATGCGGTTGTAGGCTTCCAATTCTGTTTTGATTGCCTGCAGCGATGAGGCTGAGTCTGTCACTATGAATAGAAGGTGATCCACATATGCGAGGACCTTGTGGTGTGTTCGGCCCACTTTCAATCCTTGGATATCCTCATTGCATCTGATCCTGTTCAAGAAGGGCTCCAATGTTAGTGCGAACTGAGGGGCTGACAATGGGCAGCCCTGCCGTGTCCCATTATATATCCTAAACGGGTCCGAAAGGGCCCCATTGATCTGCAATCATGCTGTTGGGTGGCGTATAGAGCCTTGACCCAGGAGAGGTATTTTGGCTTGATGCCCATGCCCCACAGTACCCCTAACAAACTTCTCGTGCAGTTTATTTCTTGCGCGTCGAGCATATCGCAATAAAGTGTCCTTGGACCACCACCTTATGGGTTTCCCAGCATGTTAGGGGTTTCATATCTCCCGTCTCATTGGTGGTGAAATAGTCATGGAGGGTCTTTCTAGTTGTTTCGACTAGAGTGGAGTTGGAGAGGATTGATTCTTTTAAGAGCCATGAAGTTTGGCGGGGCCGGAACAGATGCGACCTAAGTCGTAAATGGAGGGGGCAGTCCGACCACGTCATGGGCAAGATATCTGACTCTATGAGGAGGGTAAGATTATAGTGTGGTACTAGGAAGTAATCGAGTCTCGAGTAGGAAACATGTGTCAGGGAGTAGAAAGTATAGTCTCGGGTCGTCGGATTTTGTGCTATCCAGCAGTCAGTGAGTGGGTGGTGGTGGAGTAGTTGGAGTGTTTTTGCGTATCTATTATCCGGGTTCGTCGTAGGGTGAGAGGTGTTATCCTGTTCAGGATATAGCGCCAAGCTCAGGTTGCCCCTTACTATCAATATGCCCTCCGTAAACCTCATCAGGCTATTCAGTATAGAGGATAGGAATTAGTTGTTTCGAGTTAGAGGCATAGATATTTGCGAACGTGTATTTCTGATCATGGATGGTACCCTTTGTGAAGATGTATAGGTGACTCTTCATGATAACAGAATTCCCACGCCAAGAAAAACCCATAGGAAAGTTGGGATCTCTCATGGAAGGTGCCCGGCCTTCTTGAAAGTGCACCTCTTGGAGAAAGGCCACAGAGTTTCCATAATGTTTAAGATTTCTGGGGAGACGGGTAAGTTTCTCGCGGAAGTTGAGGCCGTGGACATTATAGGAAAGGAGGTTCAGGTCCTCCCAGGCTTAGCGGGTGTCCTAGGTGGCAGGCATCCCCAGGATGACAAGCAAGGGCAGAGCTAGAAAAGAGGGGGGAAAGTGGAAGAGAGAAGAAGAGAGGGAAAGGAAGAGGAGGAAGAAGTAAGAGAGAGGGGAAAAAATGGGCAGAGGGGGACAATGGACAAGATTCCAGGTAGTGGGATGTCACAGATCCAGGTAGTCTGGAAACACAGAATTACTCCCGGAGAGGAGCACTACCTCAACTTAAGGAATGCGCTATGTTCTATTCCTGAGGGGGGTAAGGCTTTCGTTATTGTTTCCTTGGAGGTGATGTTGTCACCATCGATGACTCGAGAGTGTCGTCTGGATGGGCTTATCGGGTTTGGCCCGCATGCGATCTCAGTCATTCGAGGGGTATGTATATGTGAGCACTACCTCGTTTTGGCTAGTGAATGCTGGGTGTCACTGCACCTATCTACGGGTTTATAAGATTAAAGATTGCACTATGAGTGTGGTTGCACTGTATTGTCTGTCGGCTCCCTGTATATGGTAGCCCTACTTGTAATGAGGATCACTTCTCGCGTTTGTAGTGTGTGCTTTGTGTGATTGTTTGCGAAGCTTGCTGGGGGGGAGCTAAGGGGCTGGGATATGCGTCTGTTTTTACATCACCGGGCTGAATGTTTGCGGTACCAAGGACGCATGTTGGGAAGAAGAGTGGGGACCGGAGTGGTATTGTTTGGTCGGATAAGTGTCACATTTAAGTGACTAGTGTGTGCAACCCAATGCATGATCCTCCCCTTCCCCCGGGAGGTCCTTGATCTTAGTTCCAGGGCTGTGAGTTTTTTGTACGAATGCTAGGAAAGGCAACATTTGCAGTCAAAGTTAAACGAGGAGAAAGCAGTTAGAAGCTCCTTGTGGGTCTGTCTCCTGTCCCGCACGCTTGTAGATATCCATGTATCATGCATTGGATCACTTTTGTTGATCGACCCTGCTACCCTCTCCTCCCTTCCCTCTCTCTTTATCAAGACCTATTGCCAAGCACATTTGAGCATGTGCTGTGACAAACCCCTGTTGTTTCCATTGTCCCAATTATTTTCCCTGCATTTGCTAGATTGGCCCACCGAACACTCCCCTGGCTCATTTAACTTAAAAAAAAAACACACACAAAGTTAAGTGCTCTCTCTGTGCTGCTGCTGTTTGTATAACCGAACAACACGTGCGCTGGAAAACAGCATCCATCTTGTCTCCCGAAAGAAGACAGCGGTACTTGGTCGTTGAGTGTGTGGAACTCTAAAGCGGACACTCGAACACCGGTGATTTGGTACGACTGCCTGCTTCTTTTCATGACGAACCAGAAGAGCGATATTCAGTAGCATTGTTCGCACGAACAAGGCTAACAATCGCTACCTATCAACCAGGGGAACTGTTCGACTTTTGATTCATTTTGTAACTCCCGAAGATGACCGAAACTTTACCCCAGTGGCGATTCGGCTATGTTCGTGGGATCTGAGCGCTATTTGGATATGTTGAATGCTCGGATCCAGGCTATCCAGCTATATAATACTTGTGGGGGTTTATATGTATTTTAGGGTGTTTTGTGTTTTATATTTTGTACCTCTAGTGCCTGGGAGATAAATAAGGGTAAGCAAAGTACCCTCAATTATCTACCACACACAGAGACTCCGGGGTGTGATTGAGACCCCATGCTGGGAATCTGTGTATAAAAGTGGGACATCTGCCCATAATAAAACATTCCTGTTGTACCCTTCATGAAGTCTCGACTTATGTTTTGGTATGCGAATGAAGAAAACAATTGATTTTAACCACGGTCTACGGGGATTTCAGGAGAGTACAAACTAGCGTACTATGCAAACAGGCTGTAATCACTAAAGCCTCTAGCATTTCAGGAGTGTGCGAATGAACATACTTCACGACGTTCAAGGGGTTTGTCACAATTGATGGCAGCGATGGGCTCTAAAGTTCGAATGGACCTCCCGAACAAGGAACAGCAGTGAATGGCCCAGCAGTATAAGACTCAAACGAACAATGTTGAAAGATATGCTGGAAGCACGGAGGGGATGCAAGTAACAAAAAGTATGCAAGAATCAAGCATGAATCATAGCCGAACTGATAGAGGCCGATCAAACCAGCAATGCAGCGTCAAGAAGCAGAGAAGCAGTGGAGTTCCAGAGAGGTATGAGATGGCAGCCAAATCCAAATCCCCCACAGGAACTAATCTTCCAGATCATGGAACAGGTTATAGCAACACAGACAGCACGGCAGTCCAGAATGGATATGTATCAAGGAGATACAGCATCGCTACAGGGATCCAGTAATAGAGGGCAGCGAAAGAAGGTAAACTACGCTACATTTAAAAACTTTGTAAATGGGGATATATAGATGCCTATTTACAAGGCTTTGAAAGGCAATGTGCTTACAAGACCTATACAAAGATAAGTGGGAAGCTATCATGAGCAGCAAATTGAGCAGCGCAGGCTTACCAGGCAGTATCCATCACTATGAACGGGTAAAGGACATTTTATTGGCTCAGTACACTGTGAAACCTGAGGCCTATAGGAGGAAGTTTTGGGGGTTCAAGAAGAATCACAAAAACTCTTTTGCCGAGTGGGCTTTCTGAATGCACCAGGCAGTCAAGAATTGGATGCAGGGCTGCCAGGCAACCTCTTTTAATGATGCTCTGCAACTGCTACTACTAGAACAGTTCTTTGACCGTACGCCTACAGAGATTCGTGACTGGATGAGAGACTGTAAGCCTGGAACCATAGAGGAAGCAGCAAAACTGGCCAAAGAATACCAGGATGGAAGAAAGGTAAAACCCAGTGGAGCACGACCTCCTTTCAGGCTGTCCTATCAGACGCAAAGCACCCCAACACTACCCAGACCCACTCTGGTCACACCTGCAACCACACCAGCACCTTTCAGACGCACTGGGCTCATTTGCCATGGCTGAAGCCAAACCGGCATTTTAAAAATAATTGCCCAAATAAAAACAGACGGAGCTTGGAATGTCCATCACCTCAACCAGCCAGGGCCACAGCCCACTGCTACCAACAAGAGTTCCCCACAATGCAAAGCTACCCAGAGGAACAGTGGTCGGTTCTACATCAGGTGAATCCTGTTAAAGATGCAGGCAATAACTGGGAGCACCATCAGCAGTGGGTAACCATAGACGGGTAAAACGCAAGGTGACTAAGAGACACTGGCAGGACCTTAACCGTGGTACAACCACACATGGTCAGTCCACAAGCCCGGATCAACCAGACTGTAGCAGTGAGGGTGGCAGGAGGCGCCATCTATAAACTCCCAACCGCCAGAGTTCTTCTAAACTGGGGCTCAGGGGCCAAGAATCTGGAGGTCGGCATTATGCGAGACATCACCGCTAAGGTACGATTGGGAAACGACCAGGGCTGCCTGATGTTCCAGTTCACTTTTCTCTGCCCGGAGGAGACCCCACCTATGACCACGAGACTGCAGGCCCACAGGGGAGAACCGATGCACTCTGAAGACCCGCAGGTAGGACACTATGTCCCGACCCTTGTCGACCCAAGGTTTTGAAAATGAACAGAGGGCAGACCGGACTCTAGAAAGGTATAGAAAACAGGCAGAGACCCCCCGAAGGAGATATAGAGTAGGAGAGGTTTGACTGGGATAAGGGGCTGTTATACCGGGTTGCAGGGGGTACAGAGAATGGAGCAAGTGGCTAAACGACAGCTGGTAGTGCCCTGCAAGTATCGGGTTGAGCTACTTAAACTTAGCCATGTCATTCCCCTAGCAGGACACGAGGGTATCCGGAAAACTAAGGATCGGTTAACCCAGCATTTCTTTTGGCCCAGGATCTACATAATTACAGCAGGACCTGTGATGTCTGCCAAAAGATAGGGAAAAGGTGTGACCACCCAAAGGTCAAGTTACATCTGTTGCCCATAATTGAGGAACCCTTCCACCGAGCAGCGGTGGACTTGATAGGCCCGCTCAGTAAGCCCAACACCTCGGGCAAGAAATATATTCTTACCGTAGTAGACTACGCTACTCGGTATCTAGAAGCAGTGGCTCTCCCTAACATAGAGGCAGAAACTGTAGCGGAGGCCCTAGTTAAAATCCTTATCTGAGAAGGGGACCCTATTTACAGTAACTGTTACCTAGCCATTGTGGCAAAGTTGCAGAGTAAAACCCCTGTTTAGTTCTCCATATCATCCCTAGACGAATGGATGCGTTTCACTCTATGAGCTTCCTCAGTAGCTCATATGTAACATGTTAAAACCCTATTTCGAGGAAGCTCATAGAGTGAAACGCGTTTAGCTGAATTTTGGACTTTACATGTGGACTTTTTTATTTAGACTTTTTTTATTTTATAGAAGAAGTACTAATTCTGTTTTAATTTATCACCAATAAATTATTTTTAATATTTTATACCTATTAGTACTAGAAGTCCTTTCTAGCCATCAGGAACCATATTTGGGGAGTGCTATCCCATTAAAAGCAGCACACTGTCAATCAACCTCAGAGCCGGGTATCCAGGGCTCTGTTACAGGTGAGCATAACCATTATCACCAATATTATATTCACGTCTTCATACAGTACTACTCAGCTGGTTTGTCTCTTTCTTGTTCTATATTCCTGGAGGAATATCAGTTGTGACAAAAGGGTGTGTTGCTGCCCAAAAAACAAAAAGGATTTATCT